GGAGGGAGGATGCATGGGTGGGTGGGTGGATGCATAGATGATAGGCAGATGGGTGGGTGACGGGTAGCTGGACGGGTGATGGGAGGGTGGACAGTGCAAGAGTGAGGAGATGGACACATGGATGGGTGAGTGCAGAGGAGGCCCCAGCCTCACCTGGACTTTGGCCTTCACTGTGTCGTACTCAGCCTTCATCCTCCTCTGCGCCTCTTCGTCCACGCTGGGGTCCCCGCTCCTACTGAACAGGGAGGCCGCCTCCTCCAGCAGCCTGTCCAAGAGCTCAGCCTGGTTCTTCACATTGTGCTGCAGGACCTGGGCACTGCTCAGCTGCCACTGCTTCTCCTTCAGACCCAGCTGCAGCTCGGCCGGGGGCTCCAGCGCGATCACCATCTTCTGAAACCAGCGGTAGAACTCGTCCTGGGCCAGCAGGTACTCCCTCCAGTGCAGCCAGACCCACTCGATGCGGCTGTGGGCAGAGGCCATCAGGGAACAGCCTGGCTCCCGTGCAGGGAGGCTCACGCTGCCCTTTTCCTGTCCTGGGAGCTGTGGGACGGGGCCACGACAGCCTCTCTGTGCCCCAGGGGCAGCTGGATGACATTCTAGGTTCCAGCATTCCCTCAGGCTTCCTCGGGAGACCCTGTACCTGAGACTCATCCGCTGAGGTGTGCAGCCTAGGCAGCCCGTAGCCACCAGCACCCCAATATCTGGCCGTGAACTCCCACTATTGATGCCCAGGTCCCTCCACTACCTCTGGCACTGAGACTCTGCAGGCCCTTAGCACCCGTTGCCCATTAGCCATAAGGAGAATTGAGCTCAACAGTTTGTAGGGCAGAACTGCATCCAGGGGCTTGTTGGTTGCCACCTGGTGGGTGGGGGTACTGGGGACCCCCTTGGGTCCCAGGGGCACAACAATTTCTCAGTGCGCCTGTGCCTCTCCACCCACCTGCCTCCCCCTCTACAAAACATGCTGACAGCACTTTCTCCAGCCAGCATCAAGCCATCTTGGCGTCCCAAGTGCTCAGCCTTGGGTAAAGCTGTTCTTGCTTTCAGGGGCCTGAGCGCCAAGAAATGTTGCTCCTGACTCTGAGGCTCCCTCCCATCCTCCTAGCTGCCTTTAGGGAGCGCCCATGCACCCCATTGGCCACAGGAAGTGTGAAGCTGACTGAGGTCAAGTAACTTCCCCCAGGCCACACAGGAAGTACCCAACAAGGCAAGAATCAACCCCCTCCCCGAACTCTGAGTCTCTGCCCATCTCCTGCAGCCCTTCTCAGAACCTGGAACAGGCCGAGGACCCGGCTGAAGTTCTGCTTGGCCAAGCTGTTCTGCCACTCTGCGGGAGAGGCACATGTGGGCAGTCAGCTGGCTAGCAGCACGGGGTCCCTGGCTCTGCCATCATCGTTAAGCTTGGTCATAATTAGGAGGAGGAAGGCAGGGTTGGCTTGAATTCCAGGAAGGCCCAGTCCCCAGGAGACACAGGCTACAAGGATCTCGCAGGCAGCAGCCCCTGGCCAGCATGGTGGTGGACGGGCAGGGCTTGGTAAGTCCCCTGACTGGGCCAACTACCTGTGACAGTGAGTCATGTATGTGACCGTCTCCTCCCATTGGTCCTTGAGGTCCCTCAGCTGGGCCAGGATCTCGGGCCGCTGGTCCTCGAGGCAGCATGCAAGGAGGGTTTCGGCAGCTCGCAGCACCAGGCCCACCTTCAGCTGCCCCTCTGGCTCCAGCCGGCAGATCTTCTGTTGGAGACAGGAACGGGGTGCAGGGGTCAGGACTCCCCAGCCTTGCCGTATTCCATCAGAACCCACCGACACCTGTGATGCTCGCACCAGCACCCACTTCCTCCTGGGGGCCCTCTGTCCTCTCTGGCCCGGCCTCTCACGGCTGTTCCCCTAACAAACACCAGTGATTTTACCTCCTCTTAGCCTCAGCTCCCTGAAGGACGGAGATCGGAACCAGGTCCAACAAACAGCTGGTCTCTAACCTCAGCTCTGGGTGCTATCACTGTCACTGCGGCAGCCTGGCAGCTAACGCTTGGTCTCTAAGGTTGGGCACGAATGGGCTTCACCTCCCAATCCTTGGTGACTTTTGTCACTGGACCTAAAGACTCAGGTTGTATGAAATGGAAGAGGGGAGGCTTTGCTGCAGCCACATCTCAAAGCGCGGCCCTGCTGCGCAATCCGTGACTTCACTGTCCTCCCCTGCTGCTGTCCTGGCACACCTGTGATGCCACCTACTTGGGGCAGCTGAGCCAGACAGGGAGGTCACAAGTTCAAACTAGCCTGGGCAACTTAGTAAGACCCTGTCTGAAAAATAAACAAAAAAGGGCCGGGGACTGAGCTCAGTAGTGCTGCCACCTGCCTCATAAGTGCAAGGTCCTGAGATTGATCCATGGTACCAAAAGAATAAATAAATAAACCCCAAAGCAGGTATGGTGGTGCACATCTGTAATCCCAGCATTCAGGAGGCTGAGGCAGGGGGATCACTGAGAGTTCAGGGCCAGCCTGAATTATATGGTAAGACCCTGTCCCTTTTAGACACATAGATAATAGATAGATAATAAATAGCTCAGGAGTGGCGCACACTCAAGGCCCTGCGTTCAGTCCCCAGTTATGCAAAATTAATAACTGTAACAGTAATAATTAAGGTGATGATGTGATCTGTTTCACACTTGTGAAGGAGATTTCATTCTCCCCTCCTGCTAGCAAGCTGGGCATGACGGTCATTGCAGATGTAATAACCAGAACGCTGGGGACCCACAAAAACCAGGAGTTTTTCTGACAGTCCCTACAGCAGCCAGGGAGGCTCTTGCAGTTGGCTGCCAGGCTAAGCCGAGAGGCACACGTCTGCAACAGTGACAGGAGGCAGGAGCCCGGGGGGAGAAGTGAAATTCAACCTCTCAGCACCACATTCAGAAGCTGGCTGGCCGGAAGTCCCAGTACAGTGCCTGCCCCACAGCCACTGTGTGATCCCCTACCCCTGGGATGCCTGCCGTGTGCCTGGGGCCTGCGGGGCCCGGCCGAGCCAGGTCGAGAAGTCACTGTGCCCTCCTGGGCCACCCCAGAGTGAGGTCCCCTCAGGGTCCAGCAAGGACATAGCCCAGGATGCCCAGCCATCTGGAAAGCAGTCTGTACAGCAAGTAGCCTTGAAGTTAACCTGGTTCGAAGCAGCCATTGAAGCACCCAGCAAAGCCAGAGAAATGGGGGTCTCCTCCACGCAGACAAACTGGGGGCCCCCAGCAGGCACTGGGCTGGACACCACAGCCAGCGTGCATAAGATGGAGTGGGCTGGGCAGAGGAAGGGCCACAGACAGACGAGAGCCAAAATAAGGGACAAAAGGGACACCTGGGAGCTCAAGGTGGGACCTGCGGAATCCACGAGGGCTCTGTGGGGAGGTGGCATCGACCCCAAGCCCTAGAGATGGTGCAGGCAGAGGAGCAAGGTGCATTTAGGGGCAGGTCTCTTGGCTTCCGGAAGCCAGGCCCCAGGACATCTGGATGGCCCTGACCAGAAGGGAGACTGAAAGCTGGTGAGGAAGCGGAGGTTGGGACTGGGGGCAGGACTGGGAAGGCTGGGAGCAAGACATGAGCTGGGAGAGGAGCTGGAGGCCCCGCGGCCAGGGACCGGGGAAGCAGGCAGCCTGTCCCCCAGCATCTGAAGCAGCAAGAGTCTGCCCGTGCAGTGGCCGGGCCAAGCAGGAAGTCCTCCCTCAGTGCCACCTCCCTCCTTCCAGGCAGCAGCAATCACTTTCCCCTGAGCGAGGACAGCTCCTGGGGCCAGGGAAACCTCCTGGAGGAGCTGCAGTCATGACATGGTTCCGGTGCACTCGGCCAGCGAGAGCCCAGCACTCAGCCCCCCTGGGCACAATGCCTTGTCCCAAGCGCCCTTCTTTGTTCCCATGTAGGGACTGAAGCCAGGGCTGTGCACTGCGCTAACCCCCAGCCCCATCAAAGCAAAAAGGAGCAAAGCATGTGCTTCTTCCTGTGAGCTGTTGAAACACAGAACGTGCCGCGGGAGAAGGTGCAGAGGGCACCGGCTTGCAGGTCACTGCCGGGGGCTCCCCCATGCCTGGTCCACAAATAGATCTGCCTGAGGACCATCCTAGTGCTTGCTTATGCCAGGCCCACCACCGGGGGAAGTGATCTGCCACAGCAGATTTCTAAGTAGCTGCCACCCCAGAGGAGTGCAAATCGGCAGCTTCACTCACATACAGGAGGACTGGGGCCCAGAGAGGGACAGAGCGCAGGGAGGTAACACAATGCTCTGGCATCAGCACTGAAATCCCAATCCAAGTCTCTGACTCTCGGTTCATTGTGCTTTGTCCTGATCCCTGGCACCCTAGGCCAGGGTCAACATGATGCAAGGCTAGGCACCGGGCACCAGTATTTCTTGTCAGTCTGGCGCCACAGGCATTGAGCCTTGCAGCTCAAGGTCAAACCCCAGGTCTGGAGGAGCTCAGGGGCCACCCCTGCAGCCTGGCAGATCCCACTCTCACTGCCCTGCAGGAAGTCCCAGGCCATCAGACCTGCAGGGGCCGGGCACAGGGGCAGGGAAGGTGGAATCAGGCTGGTGCCAGCAGGGCTGGGGACCTCCTGGCTGCACAGGTGGCCCTGCTGGGATAAGGGACTGAGGATGGGCTCTGGGCCCTCACTGCAGAAGTGTGGGCCAGAGAGCAGCAGCAGCAGCACACACGCTTGTCAGCAGTGCCAGCTCAGCCCTTGACCCATCCAGGCCAAACAGGGGCTTGACTTTATTTTCCTTTTCTTCTTTTGAGACACAGTCTCCTTAAGTAACAGGCTAGCCTAACTCATGATGACCCTCCTGCCTCAGCCTCCCAAGTGCAGGGATCACAGGTGTGTACCAGCATGCCCAGCCAGCATCTTCATTGGATCAAAGCCCCCAGGACACCTGTGCACAGGTCAGGGTCTGTGAGACCTAGGTTATCCACCATACCATGGAACAGGCAGGAAACTAAGGTCGAGGGGGATGGACAGGCTTGGCCAAGGCAGGGCCTCTGCATACCTCAGTCTCCTGCAGTCTGGCCTCCAGGGCCGCCAGGGGCCCCTGGGTGTTGTCATTGACCTGCAGCCGCTCCTTCACCGCCTGCATCCATGCGCGGGCCTCCTCCACGCTCCTGTCAAAGCCCTCCCGGGGCTGCTGGGTCATGGCACCTGCGGGGGCTGGGGAAAGATGGCAGGTCAGGCAGAGGCAGGTCCAGGACAGGTCCTCTTCGTCCTCCTCCTCCACCGACCCCTGTCCCCCGCTCCCCTCCACTTCCTGCCCAGACTCAGGCCACTCTGCTTTGCCTCGAAGGAGGCTCTGGGGGCACACAGGCTGGGGTGTCCACGACCTAAATGACACAGGCCATGCAGGGACCAAGGAGGCCTTAACCTAAGGAACTCAGTTCGTGGCACCAGCCAAGCACACGCCACCCCCAGACCCACCCAGATTGCTGGCTCTGGTGTGCTGTCCTTTTTTGCCATGGTGGGCGCACGGTGGACATGGCTCATGCCCCCCACCTCCCTCCACTCAGCGCCCCAGACAGCATCCCTGACTGTGCTCGCCAGGAAGCCCACACACACCTCCTGCCTCTGGTGACACCTACCAGCTGGCACCAGCCACCTGCCCACACCAGCCCACTCTGTGGACAGCCACGCCTCACCCTCCCCGGGCTATGGAGGCTAATGTCCCAGGGCTTCTCATGTGACTTTTTAAAGTCCCAGCAGGCCAGGGTGCAAGTCTACATCCTGTTCCGTTTCTGCCCACAGTAACTATAACCTGCTTTGGATTAAAGTTATTTATATCTGCATTTTACACGAAGGGACTGTGTCTGGTTTATGCAGGGTTTCCGGGGATGCCTCGCCCCACGCTGCTGGAGGAGGAGCTTGCACGGGTATGAAGTTAACTCACAGAAGAAACTCCCCTTGTCTTTCTCCGGAGGACAAAGCAAGTTTGTCACAGCCTGCACACTGCTAACAGAAGGTCCCTTAGGGAAGTTGGGGTACATTCACACATGATGCTGCCAGCAAAACTCAAACATAAGATGCACAGGCCAAGGCGAGCGCTGAGGACAGAATAACACCAGAGGATAAGACAAAATTACATGTCATATATTTGGTAGTCACAACTTTACACCTATTAAAAGCAAAACCAAATGTCAATAATGTCTAAAACCCTGCTTATGGACAGAAATTAGGAAATGCTGCAGCTAGAGGCCCAGCCACCCCAGGCCTGGCTCTTCCATGGGCTCTGCAGCCTCTCTCCCTGGCATGGGGGGACACCCTGGCCTCCAAGGGCACCCAATTACAGACGATTATCTGTGGCTGGTGGGAAAAGTTTTCTCTCATTTTCTTCTCCTCTTAGAAGCTTACTGAATTTTCCAGAAAGTGCGATCATTACTTCCCAGGGAGAAAATAAGACCTTTCCTGCACACTGGCTAACTTGTTAGTTGGCCCTTTCTTCTCTGGCATGGGTTGGTTACTCAACAAGCGTTGGCTGGGAATCTGGACCCCGCCCCGAGCTGCGCTGGGCTTGGATGCTTCAAAGAAGACCTAGGAAAACAAAGAGGGCGCGGCAGGCTGGGCTGAGCCCTGGACTTGGAACAGAGCCGTCTTGCGCGTGCTATTTCTCTTTCAGAGCTGTTTGGGTTTTTCTTTTCCTAACAACTTAGTATGTTCCTGCAGGCACTCCCTGCCTCTGAAGCATCTTTTAAAAGCACATTAGCAAGTGCGGCATTCAGATTGGCTCACTGTGACTCCCAACTATCTTCTAGTGTGTGTCCTAGCTGGCTTCCCAAAGTCCTGCTTTTATTTTATTTTTTATTTCATTTTGTTTTTGGTATGGGGGATCGAACTCAGAACCTTGCACTTGTGAGGCAGGTGGCACCACTGAGCTAAATCCCCAGCCCATGCTTTTATTCTTATAAAGCAAGGACTGGAGGGACAGCAAGGCATTTGTGGGTTCAGACAGCAGTCGGGGGAGTGGCTCCATCATCCAAGGCTCCAAGCCTGGGTTGAGTCCCTTGTTGGGAGGTCTGGGCCCCATGGCCAGCTCTGCCCACCCAGCACCATGCTCGGGACTGTAACACCGCTCTGCACACACCTGAAGCCACTCTCGGCCCACAGCTGTGATGCAACCTAACAATCAATGTCACAGCACTGCAGGAACTTTGACTACCAGAGGACTCTGCCCTGCTGTGCCTCCTGAGTGCTGCAGGAAACACCATCAGTCAGCACTGAGCAAGAAGGACCTGCTGCTTTCCTACCCAAGTCCACAGGCTCCTGACTTCTCTCTGGGCCCCATCAGTGCCCCAGGTGGGAGCCCTGCTCTGAGCCTTCTAACCCCGAGGAGACGGGACGCTGACCCCCAAAGCAAGTGTAACCATTTGACAGACTAACCTGGGAGGCTGAGGCAAGAGGACTCCAAGTATGAGTTGCCTGGGGAGCTCTGCAACTTGGTGAGACCTTGTCTCAAAATTAAAAATTAAAAAGGGGCTAGAGGCATAGCTCAGTGGGAAGGCTCTGGGTTCAATCCTTAATACCACAAGAAAGGAAGGAGAGAAAAAAGGAAGGAGGCAGGGAGGGAAAACAAGAAAGAGAAATCGATAGATTAAAAAGCAAACAAACAAAGCATGATGGCTATGGTAGCTCATGCCTATAATCCTAGCACTCAGGAGGCTGAGGTAAGAGAATTTCCTCAAGTTTGAGGCCAGCCTGAACTACATAGTGAGACACCGTCAAAAAAAAAAAAAGATATTAACTCTGAGCAGGAGTCTTTGCCCCTCTGGCCTCAGTTTCCCCATCTGTGCACCAAGAGTGTAAACAGTATATGGTTTTGAATCTGTTTATCCCTGAGGAACATCATGTTCAAATCTGATTCCAAATCTGTCTTAGTGACTTCTTGTCACTGAGACCCTATATCCTAACCTAGAAGTTAAAGGAGAAGAGGTTTATATTGGTTCTCAGTCTGCAGAGGTTTCAGTCCATAGTTGGCTGGCTCCAAGGCAGGGGACACAGCAGAGGAAAACAAGATTATGGCAGGGCAGCAGGAAGCAGAAAGAGATCAAGGGAGGAGGAGGGACACAGACCCTTCTAGGCTGTGCCCCGGTGGCCACATCCTCCCACCAGGCTTCACCTCCCAAGGCACACCCAGCTGTTCAGTGGACAAATCCAGCGATGAGTGGCTGGATCATGATCTAGCCACTTCCCAAATGTCCCACCTTTGAGTGCAAGAGGCTTTGGGAGGACAGCTAGATGAAAACTACAACATTCCATCCCAGGCCCCCAAAGATTCATGCACAGCTCTTATGCAAAATGCCTTTAGGCCATCTCTAGGAGTTGCCCAGTCATAACAGTTTCGGCATTGCTGAAAAATCCAAGTCCAAATTCTCTGAAATCCAAATAAATTCTTGGCTGTGAACCCCTGTAAAAATGAAAAGTTAACCACTTCTAACATACAATAGCACAAGATAAACATTCCCATTATGAAAGGTAGAAATGGGACAGAAAAGAATGGGACCAAAACAAGACCAAAACCCAGCAGGGCAAACATTAGATCCTGTAGTTCCATGTCCAGCACCCCGGACAATCAGTGGCAAGATGGAAGCTCCAAAGGGCTTACTGAGGTGACTCTACTACTACGGCACTGCCAGGGGCTGTGGCCCTCATGGTTTCTCTCTTGGGCTGGCTTTTCTCAGACAATCCACCTTCCTGGCTTCTCCAACCTTCTGGGGTCCCCACTGAACTTTCAGCTTCACATACGGCCCTCTCAGCCACACTGTCTGGCCTCCCAGGCTTCTTCCAAAATCTGGGTGGAAGTCTTCCTGACATCACAACTCTTGCATTCTGCATGGGCCTAAAACCAGCATCGAGTGGACGACACCAAGGTCTGCCGCCAGCTGCATGGGTAGCTGAGCCCTTTTGCATCTTGCAGAGGCCACTGAGTGCCTGGATGGCTGAACATGGTGAACTGAAATCAGGGAATCAATTCCCATTTCCTAGGGTGCTACCATTCTGGAACATGGTGCCCTGGGGCTCTCTTCTCAAAGGAATTTTGAGTTTGCAAAGGCTGGAGTCCTGATGGTTTTTATGATGCCCTCGGGTCATCGTTTCTATTGTCCAATTCCAAAGTACTTGGCTTTTTAATGACAATTTTTCTAGCAACCTTGGTCTCTACTACATCTTTGCAGGCCCCAATTTTACAGATGCTTCCTTTATGGCCAAACTCAAAACTTTTAAAATCATGCTGCTGAGCCATCTGCTCTTGATTCTCAAGATAGAGCTGACTAAACATCCCAACAGTATCCACACTACAACCTCAACATTAGACTGCCCTGAAGTTTCTGCCAAAGTAATTTGTCCATGACCCTTAATCTCAGTCTCCTGCAATGTCTCTGGACATGGGCAAAAGGCAGACAAATTTCCTACTAAAGCATAACAAACGTGGCCCAGAGTCTGACTGCCAATAGAATTCTCCTCTCCAACAGAAACCTCCCAAGCCTAGTCTTTACCAGCTACATTTCCATCAGCATTCTGGTCTTCTGAATTCTGACCCAAATCTCCATCAATCTTGGCTCACTGTATTCTAGGGCTGCTTCTCCAGCAGGCAACTCCAAATCTTTCCAAACTCTTGCCAAAACCCAGACTCCACCACTCTCAGCACCTTAATCTATCTTAGTTACTTTCACATCACTGAGACCCAATATCTGACACCCACAACTCTTAAAGGAGGAGAGATTTATTTTGGTTCCCAGTTGTAGAGGATTCAATCCATAGTTGGCTGCTCCAAGACAGAGCAGCTTGGCAGAGAGAGAGATCATGGCAAGACAGGCAGGAAATGGGATAGATCAATGTCCACAGTGACCCCTCTCTTCCCTCCAGTCTTCACCTCCCAACATCACACCCAGATAAAGCTCATCTGTGGATTAATCCAGATGAGCATCACATACCCATAACCCAGTTGATACCATGTGTTGGGTCAGAGTGATGGATTCTAGGTTCTTGGCTGGTTGCCGTGTCCAGGTGGTGACAGAGGACAGCCCTGCATGAGTTCTGTTGCACACACACCTGTTGGCCTGCGAGTTGGAGCTGCCACAGCCCCCCTGTGCCATGCTGTCCACTCAGCCACCAGGACCAAGAGCCAAAATGAACCTCTGGTCTTCACAAGCTTCCCAGGCTCAGGTTCTCTGGCACAGCCATGAGTGGACTGAGGCAGGTTCTCTGGGACACTGGGGGAGGTCTGGGGGGACCTGTGCTACCAGCCTCTGTCTGCAGACTGCCTCAAGCTAGTCTGGGCCTGGCTCCCTTGGGCTCTGTAATGCAGGCAGCCGTGGCCATTCCCTGAGCCACATCCAAGATGGGTGGTGTGGGAACTTAAGTAGCAGGCCACATCCTCTGTGTCAAGGGTCAGGGAAGAAAATACTGTTAGCCTTTGGTGCATTCACTCCCATGCATCCCATCCATCCACCCACCCACCCACCCACCCACCCACCCACCCACCCACCCACCCACCCACCCACCCACCCACCCACCCACCCACCCACCCACCCACCCACCCACCCACCCACCCACCCACCCACCCACCCACCCACCCACCCACCCACCCACCCACCCACCCACCCACCCACCCACCCACCCACCCACCCACCCACCCACCCACCCACCCACCCACCCACCCACCCACCCACCCACCCACCCACCCACCCACCCACCCACCCACCCACCCATCCATTCATCCATCCACCCATCCATTTATTCATTCATTTGAGACAGGGTCTTGCTATGTAGTCCAGGCTTGCTTTGAACTCATGGGGATCCTCCCGCATCAGCCCCTTGAGTGCTGGGATTACACGCATGTGTCACCATACCCGGCCATTTTTATCTTTAGATTGGTTACATAGAGTTAGCATGTAAGGTGTAAGAAGGAATGATCGTCACACTAACCTTATTTCTGTTTTATGAAGAACGAGAAGGGAGCGTCAAGTCCCCAGCAATAGAAAGGACAAGGAGAGGGGAAAGTTAGTTACTCTGAGTTTATCAGCACACTTCACATACACATTTTGAAATAGCACCATGTACCCCATAAATGTGTGCAATTATTTCCTCTTAATTAGAAAGTAAAATTGAATAAAGAATGCTTTTGACAAAACTAGTGGAATCCAATTTAAGTAAACTTGTTACATGTAT